TACTTGTGTGGAGTTAAAAAAAACAAACCAACATGACCAGAACTGACCATTTAAATCATTCAACATTTTTCAGTGGATGAACAGTGGGACAGATATCTATTTGGCTTGCAGATACAAATTGCTCAGTTAATATTTCACTATTAAAAAGGGACTTTATCTCCAGATCTGAAATACAAATGTGTTCAACTAGGCATAAAGCCTATCAAACTGCATGTTCTTATGCATTTATCAACTCACCACTTATTTACTCTTTCTAGAGTAACTATTAGCTTTGCATTTAATCTGCATAAAGTTGCCTTCTTTAATGTTGCTTGATGGCTCGCTGCACATTATTTCAGTTAATATTTATAAAAGTAATAAATAATATGAACAATAGCACTTCTGTTTGCATCAGCTCCCAATTTACAGCTGGAGATCTTTCAACAATAAAAAGTAGAAATGAAATAATACTGTGTCAAGAACAGTCTAAGTAATAGCATGTGGGGAAAAGTTCAGTAAAACATCAACTAGCATAGGGGTTCTTGTAACATATTTTTTGGTGGCCTCAGAGTGTGGCTACCAACTGTTGCTGGTGGCTGCTATGACAATTTTTCCTAAAATACTTAATTAACTTTATGAAAAACAAATGTGCACATTATACATGTCCCAATCATAGTAATTTATGTATTTAGGGGTTTTTCACAAACTGAATAATAAAAATAACATGCAGTTGTCTCTACTTCTGTACTGGATCTAAACAGAAAAACACAAATAAGATGCTTTGCATGTTGTTGCATGTTTTTGGTGCTGTTCCTTTTGCCTTTTAATTTTTTTTTTGGTAGACTCACTAGCTAATAAGTCTGCTTTCGTGGAAAGTGATATTTGTACATTTCTTAATATTTTTCACAGCAGCAGATGTGTTAATTTGCTGGGAGGCAGTGAAAAGTGATATTAACAAACATACAAATGTAATGTTTCGCAAGCCAGGAGACAACTTCAGCTTGGGATGGGGAGGTGGGTAGGGAGGCAGCTGGGGCCAGGGCAATGAGGGAGACGGAGCCCACCACTACACAGCCAAAGCCCAGAGCCTGAGACCCCAGTCGGAGCTGGCCCGGGCACAGCAAGAGCCTGCCTCCCACCACCCTAGGGCTGAAGCCTGAGCCCCACTGTCCTGGGGAAAGTGGGGAACTCACACTGGTCAGCTCCAAGGGTGACAGGGCCCAACCCCTGTTGGTGGTCCTGGGGGAGGGGCTGCTGCTTTGCCCCTCGCCCCCTTCACTGCCCAAGAGGCTGTGGCCCCAAGAAAAGCCAGGTGCTGCATTTGAGAAACGCTGAACTAGCAAATCATTTTTAATATGTTCTCAAATAGCCTCCACTTCCTTAACTGTGTGGATTTGCCTCTAAAAAAATGGGGTGCACGCGAAGTGCCTGAACTTCTCAATAAAACCTTAACTCCCCAAACCCCTTAAGACTGTCGCCCCAAACCCCGAGGAGTGTCCATTAATTTCACCTACTGCTATACACTGTTGCCACTTTAAGAGGTGATATTTTCCTGTCTGTGTAGCTCCACGTAGCGTCAGTGGGTTGAAATGAATCATCTAAGCATGGCCTGGTCCTCCAGTGAGTGGGTTCCACCTAGTGAAAGGCTGCACGTGGACCTCTTATCTGCCAGCCTAAAACCTGCAGAGGGGAAATCAAGGGATTACCGCCAGACAGAACCAGAGCAGAATTAAGTACGTTTGCAATGCCCAGTGCCTGTAAATATGGTGCTTGATCTGTTTCCTCCTCGTTTAAATTTGTCTTCCCTACGCTGCGGAGTCTCGCGGAATCCCCCTCATTGGGAACGCAGCACGGCTCCCACAGCGCCCTAGCAGCAGGGAGCAAAGGGGCTGAGCAGGACAAACGTGCAGACACGGCACAGGCGGGCGGCTCCGGGCCCGACGGCTGGGTAGGTGGCTTCTAACGAGACGCCTTTTCACTGAAGCTGAGAAAGGGAGAGCGGGGAGGATCCGCTTCCCCCTCCCTCTAATGGGCACCCAGCGGGAAAGTGCGCTTGAACTCCGCGAGCTGGGGCAAGCGGCAGCCTATCACTGCGCGGGTTCGCAACCCAGCCTCCGGCTCGGCCCCTGGGCCTGCGCGGCCGCTCCGCACCAATCCTGCCGAAAGGGCGAAGCGGCGCGCGTGTCTGCGGCCGGGGAACGCGGGGCTGGACGTGGTGTAGAGACTTTACTGAGCCCAATGTATTCCCTTGAGCCGGGTACGCCGCCGCTGTGCCAGCCTGCGTGTGAGCGCTTGTTAGTTCTGCTGCCTCCTTCCCCGAGCAGCCTGGCAGAGCACAATTAGCTAATCCCTGCTACAACCACGTCCCACCGTGTGGGGCATGTTCACCCGCACCCCGACGGTAAGATCTCTCTCTCTGCCCCTCCTTGTGAGCCCGGCAACGGAGAGATTTCCTAGCTCTGAGCTAGGGCAGGAGAGGCGAGCAATCGGCAATACACAGGGGTCTCGAGAGCAGCGTCTTTAAAAGATGCAACATATTACAAGCGTCTCAAGCCTTTTCCAGCACGGACCCGGCTTCAGTTGTCACTCAGACCATTGCTTTGCCTAGGAATGTGTGTGCTTCTGCTCCTTCCCCCCACCCTTTTGCCCCCCACTCTCCAAGGGTCTGTGCATCTCGATTCCTCTCGTCTCTCTAGAAATGCAGCCGCCTACCTCCACAAACTAAGAGAGGAAAAGGCAGGTATCCTGGGAAGTGAACAGTGTGTGATTTATTCTCACTTTTACTGAGCCGTTAAAGGGGCTCTTGGGAAAGGCAGGATTCTGCCAGATCCTACCATTTTAGGCTCCTGACCCTCAATTTCCTCTGCATAATTTCTCCTACTTCACACCCGGCCACGCACTCTGAGGCATCCCGGCACAACAGCCCTGCAAAATACCGGATCCACCACTTGGATCTTGTTAGATCCAGCAAATGTGCCCCCAGCACTTCTACCCCGTAAGTATAGAGCCAAGTGTAGGCACTCTGCCTCTACCAACAACAGTCTCGACAGGGCCGCAACCTGACCTAACAGAGCAGCAAATACCCAGATAGGACACATGGGATCCTGCCAGATCATGCCATGTTTTGGCCCTCCAACGTGTAAATTGCACACAGGGAACACGTTTAGTTGCTCTTGTTGCACGGAAAGATCCGAGAAGCCAATGCACCCCTACATTAAAAACCTGGATCTGGATCTTGCCAAATTTTGGCCACGAACCCTAAAATACAGTACAAGCTTGATTCTACTATTCTACCAAGATCCTCCCTGCATTCCCTAAAACAAGTGTCCCCTCCCTATCCCCAACAAATCCTGGTATAGAGCTGCACAAACTCTAATTTGGCACCAGTTTACTTCTGGTTGCAACCCCCCTAGTTTTACTACCTACATTTTAGCACATGTGCAGCTCCCTTAATCTATAGAATCCAGGTCCAAATGTATCATGATGCACCAACACTGCCCCCTATCCCCCCATCCATACCTCACAATTATATAGAAAGCTGTAAATAAATTTAATCAGTGAAACTGCAACAAGTTAGGAATATGTATTTTAAATGTTAATGATAAAAGCTGGAGACAAACCTCAGATCTGCGATGTTCCATAAATGATCAGCCATGCAAATTATGAAATATGGATCGCTGTTTATCTATTTACTGTCAAATGTAGTAATCAGGGCGTTATTTCCTTAGCAGGTGGAACGGGAACAAAATCAAAGTACCAGAGTCCAAATTAGAAAATAGTCAAGGGTTTCTGGATTATGTGATTTAATTGACAAGGAACTGGGTGAGGACTATAATGTCTACCTTTAATATTAAAAAGGTCTCTGTAACTTTAAATGAATCTGTTAAAAAAGCCCTACGTAACTTTTGCTGAATATAGAACTTGATGTATTATACTTTCCATCTGCCAAGGAATAAATACATCGCAAGCTATACAATGGGGAAATACTGCATTTCATGACGTATAGTAAGAGTGGAGATGGTAAAACGGCGTATACAAGCCTAAATTAGCCATTTCTAGCAAGATACAGGTGCCAAAATTAAAATATTTTTGATGAAATAGTAGAAGCAACACCTTTTGCTCTGTTTTCAGGGTACAAGTTCTGAGTGTATGGTGAAACTTTGGCAAGCTCCAGATGTGGGATCTACATTTGTGTGGTATTTTGGCTTTCGGGCACATCCGTGTGGATTTTTAAGGAACAACATGAGACAGCTAAATGAATTCTCTGTTTAGACAATATAATGTGGAGGTTCCAGGGCAAAACCAGGACCTGTTCATATTCAGTTCCCAGGTTTTATGGCTGATGTGGAAAGCACTGATGTCCCTGATATAGATTTAAGTAGGGTAGGTCAGAAGGGGGTAGTACAATAGAGAAGCCACATTTATTCTCTATTCCGGTGGCAAAGTTTGTACTTGTTCTTTATGTGTACAATAGGATTTTAGGAGGATAGAGCCCGCAGATTGGCTGGATCTCTTAGCACCAGGTGGAGGTTGCAACTTCTTGTGGCGCTGTTGCCCTGGGATAGGTGAGGACCAGGGTTGTTTTGAAATAATAGGAATGACTGGATTTGGACTCCGATTAGGCAGTGTAACTTGAGCTTCTGGGGCCCCAAACTGACCGGATTTTGCAGGATCCACTTTCTCCCTCTAGGGACCCAGCTTTGCCTTTTTTTCCCCTTTCAAGCGTTCGCCCCAGCAGCATCAACTTCTCCTAATCACGTGTGATTTCCTTTCGGGGGCTCTCAGGGAACTGAGAAGCCGCCTCTCCGAGCCGGGTCTGAATGTAGGACCGCGATCCCTGTCCTCAAGCCGCACTCCTCCATTCAGGGTGCTGCGCCCATGTGACACCCCCACAGGTTCCGGGCAGAGCCCTGCTTCCTCTCTCCTAAATCACACGCTGGACTTTGCAAAGGCGCGGTGGAAGTTTCCTGCTACACGCATTGAGTCCGCCTAATCGCCATCTCTCTCTCTCTCTCTGATAGGGTCTGATTAGCAAAGGAGGACTTGACCAGGGACCTGAGAGTCGCTGGATTTTCTCCCGAGCTCCACCCGGGAAGAATGCACTACAGATAAAACCCAGCTAAAGCCCGCGCGGCGAATCCTAGCGGGAGCCGACGAAAGGAGGAAGCGACTGAGGCGAGACAAGCAGGAAGCAAGCTGGTGGGGTGGAAGGGAGGTGGGCAGCTCTGGGGGCTGGCAGGGTCTGTCGGTGTGTCAGCTCAACACCAGCAGGGATGGACAGCGCCTCTGGATTCAGCCGGCACTGGGACACAGCGCTGCTGCTGCTGCAGGTGCCTATACACCGGCTTGCCTCTCTCTGCTGCTAAAAGGGCGGCGCTCCCTAATCTCTCGCTCCCCCTCCTCCCCTCTGATTTATTTATTTTATTGTTTTGGGTGGACGGAAAGTAACCCCCCTCCATGCAACTGCAAACAGGGACGGTGGCGTCATTCCGCTCCGGAGTTTGAGATCTCACCAGCGACTTCAATACGATTTAATTTTTTTTAACACAAATAAGAGTGTAACTTTGATTTAAATCATGGGCACTGAGATCGGGGGCCAGGTGAGAGATTTTCTGTATTAAGCCAAATAACCGCGGAGATGTTCCCGAGTGGTTTGGAAATACTTTGGACAGAGCTCTGAGGGGAGATCCGAAGAGTACAAGCTCTGCAACGTTTCTGCAACTGAGAGCAGATCGCCTAACGCTAGCATATTGGCAAGTAAGTCACTGGTTACAGTCCTGATTGCCGTTGTCTGTAAAGGTATTACCTTTATCCCTTTGCAGCTGTTGGTTTGAAACTCCTTGCCTGGGCGGGAGGACGGGCAGTGGAGTCCTCTGCAGTTTTAGATCTCGAGGTCTCTTTATTTGAGAGGTTTGTGATAGTGAGAGGGGCTTTATTGCAACCCAGCATTGGTCCAACTCTGTTGAAGTGCATTGTAAACATCCCTTTTATGGCACCTATATGCCTTAGCTTCGCAAGAACAATCTTAAAGAAAAAGTGTGGCGACCACTTGTGCAACTACAGCAAATGGAAATGATGCCTTATATATTATTAACATATTATTTTTTTCTCTGTGTTCATGTGTAACTAAATATTGAGAGTCTCTTAACAGAGTGTATTTTAGCAACAGCTCTTGTAGGACAGCCCTGTGTGTGTCTCAGGCATTTATACAATGCAAGACAGTGATTGAATTTGATTTGCATACCTTTTAACTTTTACCCATGTCATTTGGTAATTTTGTTTTTCTCTGATGCTCCTTCTCTGTGTTGGGTTTTTTTTTTTGGCTTTTTTTTTAAATGTATGTACATTTATTGACCTTCTTCTCGTAACTGACATTTGTCACAAAACAAAAGTTGAGTCCGGCATGATTTCAGTTTAACAGAGCATACAGAAAAGGTGTAGTAGGCAAGGTGGCCAGTCATGCTTCCATGGAAGACCAGGGCAAAACTCCACTTAGGAAGGAGCAGGCCCAGGAGGCTGTAATCTCTTCCTAAAAATTCAGTTGAAGATAGTTTTACTCAGAACTAATCTGCCACACTGCAAAATGCCAGATATCCTGTTCACCTTTCGGCATAGCTAGCGGATAAGCTAGCCAATCTGCCTCACCATATCTACCTCCCATCCATCTCTGAAATTCAGGAGCTAAAGATGTGATTCCACACGGAATTGGCAAACAGCAAACTTCAAAGAGTGTTTAATTATGTTTGTGTTTATTGATTTTCTTAGCATCTTCTCTACGAGACTGAAAACCACAATCTTTTACAGTGACCTTGATGAACATCCTGCGTTAACATGAAGGTTTTACAGAGAAAAAGCATTTACACAGGTTTACAGCCAAGCACTGACATTTTGCTTAGAGCATGATCAGTTCCAATGAACATGTGAATTTTAGTAGTGGTAGTGGGGATAGGTAAGTAGGAAGAAGGGTGGTAGTGGTGTATTTACTTAGAGGAATGAACTTTCTTCACTATTACAACATAAATAATACTATGTACCAGCTGCAAGTAACATGGAGGGATTTGCTTCTATAGAAAAGTAAATGGGTATGAAATAATTCTTGATTTTTGTGTTTTTTTGTCTCATTTTCTGATCAGAAGTCTTCAGTAAATGGAGACAGATACAAAAAATCCCAAACCTTTCTAGGTTAATGCACTTTGATTTGTCAGCACTTGTCAACTCTGAGGGTTTAGAAGAGAGATCATTTTATATGGAGCTACCTATATTTTTCATATATGAGGAACATTAACATAGAGGATAAAAAGGTGGTTATACACTGAACATGTGACTAAACCCACCAGTTTATAGCAAAAGGATGAAATAAGCCTTTCCCATGTTGGTGGATAATTTACGTGCAGCATGTCTGGGATAAATAATCTGAGATGAATGTCAGCTGTTTGAATACACTTTCAGAAGAGCGTTATACGGTTTAGATCTCTGACATGCCGAAGATACTGTGAAGTGTGCAATAAGACTACTAGAACTATTGTTAGCTACTATAATTAGCTAGCCTTTCTTTTAATTGAAATAGTCAGATTCCACTCTGTGTGTGTGAATCCAATATATTTCTAGTGAAGTATACCTATGGGTTTACAGTAGTAATTCCCTCCTCTGTTGCAGAGTGGCAGGCTTTCACTAAGCGTGTGCCAGAGAAATTGTGAAACACTGAAGCGTGCATTGAGCTGGAATTCGTTTAGGGTATATTACTGTGGTCCCTTCCACAGTGAACATAAATGACGGTTAATGGCTGATTATATAAATGAATGATTTTCCAGAAATCACGTCAGCTCTGCCACCTTAGATGCAAGGTACACAGTGCTTTGTTTCTCTTCCTTTAATTCATGCAATTTAACTTAATGCCATAAAGTGAAGTCATTGACTTCACTTAATCTCTATTTGCCTGGGGAAGAAGAAAAAAACCATAATTTAATGATGGGTCATTTGGCTTTTGCAGTATGTTGTATGATTGCTATGAGATAATCTAATGAGATGTCCTCTTCACTGAATTAAAGAAACTGTTACTGTTTATCCCTTCACTTTTTCAGCTATACTACTCAGAAGAATTATTCTACTGCATGACTTAAAACAAATGTTCACTTAGTATGACAGAGAAAATTATTCAGTTATTTTCTCCAACAAAACTGAAAATGAAGGGGAAGGTTAATATTAGGAGTTGAACTATTCAAGAGTGTAACTAGAGTAGTAACCACATAAAAGAAATGTATTAAGGAATTGATCAAAAACCTCCTTTACCTTTGCTCCTTGACTAGCTTGATAGTCACTTGAACATCTTTCCATGTATATGTAATAAACATTTATATTGTTTAACTATGAAGGCTAAAGTACTGAATGAAAGTCATACACTTTCCCACAAGTTTTATTACACTGGTACAGTAGCCTAGCTTACTTTATGTCTTTTAAATTACAAGTTTCCAAAATGTAATGCATATTATGCTCAGCTTTAAAGTTAACATTTTTATTTTAATACTTCTTGGATAACACAAGTCTCTTTAATGTAGAAGATGGTGATTTGATTCAGGAAGCCTGAAGCACAAACAAACATTACAAGTCCTTCCTAACGTCATTATGCTTGTTCAGCAATACTATTTGCTCATTAGACACTACTTTCGTGGATAGATATAAACTATAAGTGAAGTTGAACATATTGCCAAGCAAGAAAGCTTCATATAGTTATCCAACTCATAAACTCTGTCACTCTTTTCTGCTCATGTTTTGATAAACAAAAGATTATATGTTTCCTGACACCACGTGTGGTAACGTACCTTCTCCTCCTCAGCAGGCTCAGTCCTTTTTAGCCTTGGAGACACAGGCTTGGGCAAAGCAAATCCTTGTAGGTAGCACAGGGTCTGGCTATTCCTTCCCTCAGTCAGTCCCTTGTGCTTGTTTATCTTCCCTTCTGGGGACAGAGTGCGGCCTTCCTTGCAGGAAGGATTCAGAGCCTTGCTGCTCCTAGCTTACTGGCAGCTTCTCTTACTCTCTCCCCCCTCCCTTCCACGCCAGGAAGGGTTTAAAAAGGTCCCAAGCAGTGGGAGCCAGCTGAACCTAATTAGTTCCCTGGTAACCCCTTACCCACCTGAACCTTATTTCCCCATGGTTCTCTCTCCTCAGTGGCTTGGGAGAGGCCTTTTTAACCCCCTGGGTCTGATTACTACCCCCTCCCCCACCCTTAGTAGCTGTTTGTCCTGGGTTTGCCACATATCCCCCCCCACCCGCCCCGCTCAACACTACGGGGTTGGGCTACTTGGGTCGGAAAACAGTGCACTCTTGACAGGCCATCTGCATTGCCATGTTGGGTTCCAGACCTATGTCGTACTGTGAAGTGGAAGGGTTGAAGCGACAGGAACCATCTTGTTACACTCACGTTTTTGTCCTTGCTTTGGTGCATCCACTGCAAAGGGGCATGGTCCGTAACAAGGGTAAACCTCCATCCAAGTAGATAGTAGCGGAGGCTTTCTATGGCCCATTTCACAGCCAGGCATTCCTTCTCCACAATGGCGTATTTCCGTTCCCTAGGTAGGAGCTTCCTACTGAGGAAGAGGACGGGGTGTTCATCATCTCCGACCATTTGGGAAAGCACCGCTCCCAGCCCTACTTCAGAGGCGTCTGTTTGTAGGATAAACTCCTTCCCCCAGTCTGGGGCTACTAGTACGGGGTCTGTGCAGAGGGCCGTCCTCAGATCCGCACAAGCGCCTTCGGCTGCAGCAGACCATTTTACTATGTCAGGGCCCCGAGCTTTTGTTAGGTCCGTTAATGGGCATGCCCTGGTGGCGAAGTGGGGAATGAACCGCCTATAGTACCCCACTAGTCCCAGGAATGCTCTGACCTGTTTCTTCCGGAGTGGTCAGGGCCACTTTTGTATAGCTTCTAACTTGTTGAGCTGGGGCTTCACCACGCCCCTTCCCACTATATACCCAAGGTACTTGGCCTCAGCTAACCCGATCGAACATTTGGAGGGATTGGCAGTCAGCCTTGCCTTTCTCAGGGTGTCCAGGACCGCTTCCACTTTCTCCACGTGCGTCTCCCAGTCGGGGCTATATATGATGATGTCATCGAGATAGGCTGCCGTGTACTTTCCATGGGGTCGCAACAGTTTGTCCATTAGCCGTTGGAAAGTAGCGGGGGCGCTATGCAACCCAAAGGGGAGAACAGTGTACTGATATAGTTCTTCTGGAGTTGCAAAGGCTGTCTTCTCCTTGTCGGCCTTGGTCAGGGGGATCTGCCAATAGCCCTTGGTAAGGTCAAGGGTAGACATAAACCGTGCCTTTCCCAATCTGTCAGTCAGCTCATCTATCCTGGGTATAGGGTAGGCATCAAATTGGGACACCTCATTGAGTTTGCGGAAGTCATTGCAGAACCTCATACTGCTGTCCGGCTTAGGCAGTAAAACCACGGGACTGGACCATTGGCTATGAGATTCTTCAATGACTCCTAAGGCCAGCATTTTCCTGACCTCTGTCCTAATCTCTTCTCTCTTGGCCTCTGGGATCTGGTATGGCTTAACGTTCACCTTCACTCCAGGCTCCGTGAGGATGTGATGGTGAACCTCTGTAGTCCTGCCCGGCTTTTCAGAGAACACATCCTGGTTGCGTTTGATCAGGCTGATCACTTCTGATCGTTGTTCCGGAGTCAACTCTGGGGATATCCCCACCAGGTCGGGTTGGTTGCTTTTAGGGGATGGCGCCCCCAGCGCAACCACCGGA